CAGTAACTGCTACAGGCAGAGCAAACCAACACCACTTCCTTCCCCCTCATTTCGTCGTCGACTTACAAACAGTAAACATGATGGAGGACTTCAACAGTGAGACCGATAGTGATTACACTAGCTACTGGAGAGATTGGGTAAGTTGAATCTGTTTCTTTGAACCTAAGTACTGTTGGAGGGGCGATGGGCTTGGGTGTTCATCTCAGGATATGGGTCGTGGCTGCCCTCACGATGCAATTGCGGCTGGTGAAAACATTGAGGCCTCTCCTAAAGAGCTGGCTGGTGCTCATTTCACCTCATGCGCATCAGCATCATCCTACCACGCATCTCACCAACCCTCTCCATCCTAACCCTACCCTTCCACAATGGCCGAGTCTTCGACTAGTGAGGATCTTTTCGCTCACGCTCGGGGCAATGAATCCAATGAAAGATTCTACAACCTCTGTTTCTGGGGACGCAATAATCCTCCGTCTGCAATGCCTTGCTCACAGTATACCACGCAGTTTATCTCCTCCCGCGGAAACGAGTATTTCTGCGAAATCGATGAGGAATACTTGACCGATCGCTTCAATCTTACCGGCCTCAACACTGAAGTTCCTTACTATCAGTATGCGCTGGACCTTGTGACCGACGTTTTTGATCTCGACGCGGATGATGATCTGCGCGAGCAAATCGAGAAGTCCGCCCGTCATCTCTACGGCCTCGTTCACGCAAGATACATTGTCACTACTCGTGGCCTTGGCAAAATGGTATGTGTTATTGTTACGTTATTTTCACCAGAACACCACGCTTAATTTATAGGCTCAACGACTGACCTTCTCTTTCTTCGTTTAGGCTGAAAAGTACAAAAATGGCGACTTCGGCAAATGCCCCCGCGTTTTGTGCGAGGGTCAGCACCTCCTCCCGATGGGCTTGCACGATATTGCCAACCAGAGCACTGTCAGACTCTACTGCGCCAAGTGCGAGGACATCTACAATCCTAAGTCTTCTCGTCACTCCTCTATCGACGGCGCCTACTTCGGTTCTTCTTTCCATAGCATCTTCTTTCAGGTGTTCCCCAACCTGGTTCCCCCCAAGAGCACTCGCCGCTATGAGCCTCGCATCTACGGTTTCCGCGTGCATGCCAGTGCAGCTCTGGCCCGCTGGCAGGATCGCTATCGTGAGCAGATGAGAAGCCGTCTTAACGAAGCCGGTGTGGAGGTCAAATACGTCGAAGACAGCGAGGTGGAGGATGACGATGAGGAAGATTCTGAGGGTGAAGATCAAGCCTCTGAAGTCAAGGAAGAGAAGCTTTTGGGTGACGCTGCCTCGGGTCGTATGGACCTCGGCAACTGAATCGTCCTTTAGCATCTCTCCAAAAGAGCTCTGCACATCTCGCGATGCGCTTCTCGACTGTCGCAATTGGCGCCGTGTGGTCTTTTTCATCTTTCTGATACTTTCTCTCACCAGCTGGCCTTAACCGAATACCAGGCGTATTACGGAGTTTTCATTTTCATTTGCATGTAATTGACAATCATGATGATGAACACTGGGTGGGCGTTGGCGAGTTTTGAAACCGGCTTTGCCCTTTTCCCTTCTAATGTGTACTACTTTCACATCCTGCCTTGTTCTAGGACAACCCTCCGGACGTTAATCGAGATGAAGCAAGGATTTTTGTAATTCATGAAATGACTCGTGATAGTCAGCAGACGCTTCTTTGACCATTTCTATCTTGTAGAATCATAGCGTAGGGAAAGTCAGTAGAGCCTCAAACTAGAACATAATATAGCACTATTGAGTGAACGCTACTCTTTCTGTAGCTCCGCCAACGTATGAGCAATGGCCCTTGCCAGCTCGTCTCCTTTCATCCAGGCGTCATCATGGTCGCCTTTGACAGAGAGCATTTCAACTCGTCTCTGCCAGCTACCTTGCGGTGTGCTGTTCGCCCAGTGACTTAGTGCAGCTTGCATCGCCTGCTGCTGGGCAACATCCACAAGCCCATCCTCGGGCGAGTGCGCCAACACAGCCAGCCGACCAGATGTCCATCCTCCCTCGACTCCCTCCGAGCCTTTCACAAAGGCAGGCGAGGCCGCATCCCATTCCGTTTCATCAGAACTGAAGGCACCCTCAATAAACTCTTGATACGCAGAGATACGCCGATGGGTATCACGCAGAAGTCGTAAATCATAAATACCCGCCATCCCCAGTATCGCGGCTGGAGGAGAAACAACGGCAGCAGCGCTGTCCCGGAAAGCCCCCATCACGGACTGAAAGGACAAAGTCGCACCAGCGCTGTGCCCGACGAGGATATACTTGTCCCCGAATCCATACTTGTGCTGCAGAAGAGCCAGCGCTGCTTGCACGTCGCGGATATGGTCTGGATGTTTGGCATTGCGGTATTCAGTAGGATCGGTGTGATCTGGACTCTGTGGATAACTTGGATGGGCACTCAATCGGTACTCGATCGATGCGAAGGCCGCGATGTGCGGAAGGATTGTGGAGGTGTATGTTGGGGATGTGGTGAGGATGGATTCGGCCGGGGCGAGGTACGAGGCGGCTGTTTGAGTTGGGTCTCTCCAGGCTCCGCCGTGGATCAGTCTTGCTCACGTATTGTCAATCGAGATTTCCTTGAGGTCTGGGGTTCTGGGTTGTATACATCACCCAATAGCCTGCTTTGAGGTTGTCTGATACGGTGGAGATTGTCACTGTTTGGAGGTTGTGATCTCCATATTGAAGTGTTTCTGTAGGCATTACCACACGTTATATTCGAGCCAAGAGCTAGTTCTCGATGCACTGTACAAGTAACTCGAATGTCAAGTAGACCGAGAATGGGTAATCGATCCAGACTCCAAGAGGGGCCAAGGTGGCATAGCTACTGCCGACTACTAGTGATCATGGTCTTAATGGTGCAGCGGCTCAATACTTCTAAATTCAGTCCATCACGATTGTGCATACCGAAAGCTGATGATCTCTGTCATTAATGCGATGAAGAAATTAGCCGTAAATGCATCCATAATCTGAAATCCCGAGTATATAGAGGAAGGTATCACAGAGTGATGTTGTCGTCTCTATTCCCAAGCGGTCTTGGCACGCTAAACCTATTCTGGCTTTAGGCGGTGGGAAATTGTTCAATTCATCCACACAAACCAACGCCGTCTATCAACCATCGTCGTTGTCAGAAGCATTCCACGGCCTGCTATATCCAACATGGCGGAGTAAGTGATGATATCGCGGATATGATATCAAGCGCCTTTAGCTAATCGATTTAAATAGGAACGAAACCCCCCTCACGGCCGTCAAGGTCGAGGCCTTGGTATGATCATCTTCCCCAGGAAAAAACCCACCCCACTTTATCGAAGCAGGACAATGAAGAATTTATACTCATGCAACGCGTTTACAGGTGGTCATGAAGATTATGAAGCACTGCTCTCAAACTTTCCCGACGACGGCGACCGGATCGATCGTTGGCATGGATGTTGGTGGCACCCTGGAAATCACAAACAGCTTCCCGTTCCCCGTCGTTGAGGTGCCTCCTGAGTCGCACTTTGACAATGCTGGTGCCAACCCTGCTGCCGCCGCTCCTCGCGCTAAGGCCAATACCGTCTACCAGGCGGAGATGATCCGTATGCTTCGAGAGGTCAACGTGGACGCCAACAACGTCGGTTGGTATACCAGCGCCAACATGGGCAACTTCGTCAACATGAACGCGATCGAGAACCAGTTTTTTTACCAGAAGGAAATGAACGAGCGGACAGTAGCCCTCGTGCACGACGTCAGCCGTAGCTCTCAGGGAAGCCTGAGCCTCAGAGCGTTCCGCCTGTCTCCCAAATTTATGACAGCTTTCAAGGAGAACAAGTTCACCTCAGAGGAGTATGTCTACGGTTTTCCATCGGCAACGCAACGCTTTGAAGAGGATGAGAGCACGCGATGCTAACTGCATGATAGGTTGCAAAAGTCCGGCCTGAGATACCAGGATATCTTTGTTGAACTTCCCGTGGAGATCCACAACTCTCACCTGATCACCTCCTTCATCCACCAGCTCCAGACCCCCAACATTCCGGCTCCTACGGATCTTCCCCCATCGCTGGCCGCCCTGGAATCCGGCCCCTTCGTCAAGTCATCTATTCTCGCCCCCAACTACGACAACCTCACTCTTAGCATCGACCCCTTCCTGGAGAAGAACTGCGACCTGCTTCTGGACAGCATCGAGACTCACCACACTGAGACCAACAACTTCCAGTACTACCAGCGCTCGCTTGCGCGCGAGCAGCAGAGAATTAGCGCTTGGCAGCAGAAGCGCAAGCAGGAGAACGCCACTCGCGCGGCGCTCAAGCAGCCTCTTCTGCCCGAGGATGAGTGGCAGCGCCTGTTCAAGCTGCCCCAGGAGCCTAGCCGCCTCGAGAGCATGTTGAACAGCCGGCAGGTGGATCAGTACGCGCGCCAGATCGACAGCTTTGTTTCGTCCACGACTGGAAAGATGTTTGCTGTGAAGGGCAACCTGTTGCCCGGTGAGACCGCCAAATAGACGTGTGGCCGGGCTCGTGATGATTTATCTCAATCTATGGGGATTTTGGGACTTGCATGACCTTATGGCGTAGGCAGGAAAAATTCTTCTATTCCACTGTTAATATGTCTCCTGTTTGCTATTCCATTTGACGAATAGAGTTACGGGTATGACCTGAGAGCACATCCCTTCCAAGTTAGCGTATAACCTACTGTTTTGGAACATTTCTAAGCGCTGTCTGTTTGACATCGACAGGCACTTGGATGGACCAGGCACAGGCACAGGCACAGGCACCAACCCTAACCTCGTTAGGGTATTGTTTCGCACGTGAGCAAAGATGACCTCATAATGCATCGTTGCAATCGATAACCCGATTAGATAAGGTAGATAGACAATGCGACAAGCTACAATGAGCCCTCTCAAGCCATGCATTTCTTGTCTTGGGTATTTCCATTTCTTATCTTGCATTTCATAGAAACATAATAGAGCGCTAGAGTCTTTCGCCGCATCATTCTCTATGTACAACAGTAATCTCGACATCTGGATTGTGAGTCTTCTCCATACCGGGCTTGTATACCTCTACATCACACTAGTACACCCGAGCAGACATTTGTTTGGATTTGACACCTGTCTTGCATATCTGCATACTAAGCTAGCTTTACAGGCCGGAGCCTTTGCCGCAGTGACCGTAGACTTGATCGTCTACCCCTTCGACACCCTTAAAACCCGAGTCCAATCGCCCGATTACAACCGACTCTACAAGGATGCAGCAACAGGAGCAGTGCGCCGGAGCGCCCTCTACGGAGGCTTATACCAGGGAGTTTGGAGCGTGGTGCTGTCCACAATACCAGGTTGTATGTTCTCATCCCGTTCCACTGTGTAATATGCCTGAACGCAACCTCACAATGAAACAGCAGGAGCCTTCTTCACGACCTACGAAGCAGTCAAGTACACCCTGATGAACGCATCAAGGCACCACCACAACCCAGACAACAACCCCCTCCCCTTCACACACTCCTTCCCGCAACCCATCATCCACGCCATCTCGTCCTCGACCGCAGAAATGGTCGCCTGCCTCATGATGACGCCCGCCGAAGTCCTCAAGCAGAACGCGCAGGTCACCAACGTGAACACCAGCAAGGGCGGGCAGGATGCAAAGAGCGCCATGACGCAGGTGATCGCTCGGTTCAAGCATCGGCCCTGGAAGCTGTGGAGCGGGTACACGGCGCTGGTGGGGCGCAATCTGCCCTTTACAGGGCTGAATTTCCCCCTGTTTGAGCTTTTCAGGTCGCATCTCGTGGAGTGGAGGAAGAGGCGGAAGGAGGATGGTGCGATGCAGACGCGGGAGTGGGATCCGGTGGTGGAGAGGGCGGCGCTGACGGGGATGTCGGCGTCCATGTCCGGGATGATCGCGTCGGTCGTGACGACCCCGATTGATGTGATCAAGACGAGGATGATGCTTTCGGCCAGTGAGAATAACAATGATGACGGAAATAAAAGCACGAAGAAGAAGACGGCTGGTTGGGGAACGCTCAGAGTGGGTAAGGAGATCTATCGCAATGAAGGGACCAGAGGTCTCTTCAAGGGCGGTGCGATTCGCGCTGCGTGGACGGCTGTCTCGCTCAGTATGTATCTGAGCATGTATGAGGGGGGAAGGTTCTATCTAGAGAACAGACGGCGGGAGAAAGATGGGTTGAACACACGGGTTGAAGTAGATGGCTCGAAGGAAGAGGCTGCCATCTAGTCAGTATGTGGCATGGGAGCGCGTTCTGGGCATCATTTTGGTTTTATTTCAGCTGATTTGCTTAAAGGTTTAGCATCTCTGTAACACTAGATTATCACTAGAGCATCCTAAGCTGGTTTATAGAGTAGAGAACCTGTCCTGCACCATAGCATGGATTCATTCAACATATTGGCAAAGAGGGAGCAGATTAAAGGATGAATTGCATTGCTAATCATACACACCACCTATTCCTAGTCGGCGATATCTTGGATTTCATAACAGTAAGATTGTATCGTGCCTTTCGAGGTATATCGTCGTCAATGATCATTCTATCGTCCATATTCATTCCGTCATTTCAATCATTAAGCTGAAATTCGTTTCAGCCTTCACTGTCGATAATGTAGCAACATTAGCAAGAGATCATAGATTGGTCAGTTTCTTGAACCAACTGGACATCTTTGCGCCAGAGGTCGGAGGCGGCACAGCAGGATACCGGCCGTCGTACGACCTCATTCCACGGTCCCGCTCATAATCTCCACTGCCAGAACTGCTTTTTGCACGGTCAGATCGTCGAGCTTCACGCTTCCGCGCGCGCAGCTCTTCGATCTCTTCATCGTCGAGGCCCGGGTATCTGGCCCGACGGCGAGCCCGGCGGCGCAAAGCACGGCGCGCCTCCTCGTCCGACGATATGGAGTGTGCGTTTTGGTCGCCCGGAGGAAGTGGCACATCTAGCACCGTTGGCACGATTGGAGGGGGTTCGGGAGGATCAACCGCCTGCGAATCGACCCAGGACGTGGTCTTATCCTTCCGAGCCCCAGACATCATAGGTGGAGGTCTGACCGGCTCCGGGCCTCTCGACTCTCGCCGTCTGGATTTCTCGCGTTCGTCAACGGATCGGTGAGCCCGTCGATGTCTTTGTTCCATATCGTGACGGTGATCAAGATAGTAATCTTCCGGTGCTCTCTCAGAAGCACGTGGAGGGCGCCGTCTGGATCCTGAATTGTATTCTGGGTTTTCGAGCATCTCTGCCTCCCGCTGTCTTCTCCGTTCCCGTCGTTCTGCAGCTTTAGCTTCGGCGCGAGCTTCTGCCTCCCTGGCCTCTTGTTCCTCCTTGACACGCTGTGTTTCGCGAGCCGCCCGCCGGGCTCGCCTTTCCTCTCGACGTCTTGCTTCTCGCTCTTCATCTTCTCGCATTTGCCTCTCATACATCTCTCGCTCACGAGCTTGTTCTCGCTCTCTGCGCCTGGCGCGTCTTTCTTCGGCTTCCTTAGCCTCATCCTCCCGAACCTGATCAGAAGGCGCATGGCGTGATGTGCGGTGTGATCGGCGTGCCGCTCTCCTTGCCTCAGCTTCTTCCGCTTCGGCGTCTGGGACGCCTCTAACAGGCCCGCCGTCGGTAACGAAGCCTTCGTCGTCAATATCAGGTTTCATAGAGCGGCGTCTCCTTTCTTCTCGCGTCAAGCGCCGAGCCTCGTCTCGCTCTGGTTCCGTCATGTACCTGACATCTTCATCACGGTAAGACCGAGATTTCCGACGATCTGGCATTTCAGGGCGTGTGTTCCTTCGGAGCGAGCCGATGAGACCCATGAGACCACCAGTGTCTTGTTTCTTCGGTAAGGTATTAGAGCGCTTTACGCGTCGTTCCCTCGGTGCTTCCGCAAATGCCAGATCATCCGGACCCGACATTACATCTGGCCCTTGGTGGTGTTGGTCTGGCTCGACCATGACCGCGTCATCTTCATACGCTCTGGACCTCGACTGGTTTGACGAGGATATCAGAATTTTGGACGGTGCAATAGGAAAGCCATCCAGGATGATAACTCACCTTTGTACTGGATCTTTTCCTTGATCCCCGGGATTCTCTCGAGTATTCCTTCGGTGAATGGCCGTCCACCTCATCCCGGTCGACCACGACAATATCGTCATCAATAGCGTATGGATCACGTACGCCTGAAGCTCATGTTAGACATCTCCTGACATGCTTGGGGGCCTTTTAACTTACTGGATTTTCTCCGCGTCCCATGCGGTCTTTCCTTGTGCCTTGATGCACCAACTCCCATCATTCTCGCTGCTTTGTCCGACACCTTAAATCTCTCATCCGGTGGAGGGGTTGGGAGTGCGGCCTCATTCATGTCGATGGACGGCCGCCTAGATGCCTGCTTAGACGCGGATGCCCCATGTCTACGTGCTGACTTCATTCTGGTCGGCGCAGGAGGACCGCCAAGGATGAAATTGGTGAAGGTTGTCGCCCGGTCCTCTTTGCTCCCTTGTCGTTTGTCTCTGTCAGAACCAGACGTCTTTTCCGCCTCATGAGGCAGTTCTTGTCGCCTTGAATGTTTGGTGGACTTTGACCGTACGACTCCGCCGGATGAAGGTTCCCTTCCGCTAGACCTGGCCTCTCTATGGGTTGATTTCCTAGGAGTAGGAGTAGCGCCCCAGAAGCCCCACGAAGCAACACCTGGAGTTCGCTCGACTCGAGCGCGCTCTTTCTTCGCTGATCTTCCTGGTGCAGCGGGCTCAGGTGGAGGAGTAGGCGGACCATCAGCATCTGCACCAGGCTCTTCAGCAGGTGCATCTCCAGCTGGTGGTACCTCCATGGTCTGGTCGGTCATTCTGGACTTGGAACTTTTCTTGGTTTTCTTGGTGGCCTTTGGCTCCTGGGCAGGCGGGTCTGCTGGCTCAGGCTCTGGCTCAGGTTCCGGTGGCGCTGGTTCTGGTTCGACAGCCTTGGCCTTCTTTTTCTTTTTCTCAGTCTTCGAGAGCTGCACTGGTGCAGGTGTGGGCTGAGGCTCAGGCTCAGGCTCAGGATCAGGCGCAGGCGCAGTTTCTGGTTCTGGCTCAGGCTGCGCAGATTCCGGCTCTGGTTCTCGCTGAGGTGCTGGTGCCGGGTCAGGGTCGGGCTCCACAAGCTTACCCTTCTTCTTTTTCTTCTTCTCGGCTTTTTTGGACAAAGGAGCTGGGGCTGGAGCAGGCTCAGGCTCAGGCGGTGGATCAACCGATGGCTCCGGCTCGGGTTCAGGAGCAGGAGGTGGAGGTTCCTGGAAGTCGTCCTCAAAGGCGTCTGGGAAGCTTCCCGGCACAGACTCCCGAGAGATCTTGGGCGCTTCAACGGGTTCAGGCGGGATCTCTGCAGCAGGTTCTTCCTGTGGTGGTTCCGGTGGTGGTACGGTCTCCTTAGCTTTCGCTTTCTCCTTCAGCCTCTCTTTTTTGGCTTGCTCGAGGGCTTTGATGCGCTCGGCAACTGAAAGCTTGGCGGATGACTTGGCCTTGGAGGTGCTCTTTGCTGGCGGCGCGGCTGGCGCGGCTGGCTCGTCAATGACAGGCGGCTCGGGCGCTTCAGGCATTGGTGCATGCCCAATGTCCCCAAGCAGATCAGCAGGGGGCTCCGGGGCAGGTACAGGTGGTTCGGGTTCGAATTCAGGTTCCTTTGCTGGTTCAATGAGCTTTGGCTTCTCCTCTGACTTCTTCCTTGTAGCCTTTGGTCTCGAGCCCATTGTGGCTGCACCGAGCGTCGCCCAAAATCCCCTCGCTGCTTTAGTGGGAGTTTCATCCACACCAAAGGATCCCTTTTTGGTTCCTTTAGAAAGCTTGGTGCCATTATCGCATAGGAGATCCTCCGCCACCTCTTCCGGAACAGGGGGTTCGGGATCCAGCCCTAGCGAGGGAGGTGTTGGGGCGGGGGGCGGCGGGTCATCGGCAATCTTGTTCTTCTTGGACTTTTTCTTGTCCTTTGAAGAGGTCCAGATACCCCAGCTATCCTCGACTACAGGCTCTTCCTGTACTGGTTCGGGAAGGAGCTCAGGCTCTGGTTGTGGTTCAACGACCAGCTCAGGTTCTGGTTCGGGCTCAGCAGCTGGCTCGGGCTCAGGTTCCACAGGAGGTTCAGGAGCGGGTTCAGGAGCCGCTTCTAGCGCGGGCTCTGCCTCTGGTGGTGGGGTCTCGATGTCCTTTCCAGGTATCGGAAGGCCTTTCTTTTTTAATGCCTTCTCGCGTTTTTTCCGCTCCTTTGACGACAAATTTACCCAATTGTCGTAAAGAGGGTCATCGGGCAATCCAGGCGCTTTCTTTTCAGGTTCAGGCTCCGGCTCCGGCTCCGGTTCAGGTTCAGGTACAGGCTCGGGCTCAGGCTCAGGCTCAGGAATAGGTTCAGGCTCGGGCTCGGGTTCAGGCTCAGGCTCAGGCTCAACCGCCTTTCCCTTCTTCTTCTTCTTCTCTTTCTTTGGAACATCCCAGCCTCCCCAAGCATCATCTGGTGCCTTTTGCTCTGGCATAGGTTCCGGTTGCGACTCTTGCGGCGGTTCTTCAACAACAGGTGCGGGGTCTTCAACAACCGCTCCCTTTTTGGACTTTTTATCCTTCTTGCCGACTGATCCCCAAGCGATTCCCCAATCGTCTTCTGCGGGGGCAGGCTCGGGTGCGGGAGGTTCAGGGGCCGGAGACTCCACGGGAGCGACTGTCTCCTGTACGCCTTTCTTCTTTTTGTCCTTCTTGGTCGAAACACCCCAGCCCCAGTCATTATCATCGGCCATCTCAGGAGCCTTTTCTGGCTCCTTCATTTCTTCAGCTGTGCCCCACACGTTGCCTGTTTTCGGTTTCTCAACGACAGGCTCAGGGGCCTGTGGCTCCTCGGCAACTTTAGCACCTTTCTTCGCCTTTCGCTTTTCCTTCTTGGAAAGACCGGCCATCCAGCTATCATCTACCGCAGGTGCTGGTTCAGGAGCTGGTAGCGGTTCAGGCTCAGGCTCGGGTTCCTTGGGGAGTTCCTCCACAACATCTTTCTTTTTCTTCTTCTTATCTTTGGCGCTAACTGGCGCGAAGTCGGCCCAAATATCCTCTTCAGGCTTCTTCTCTTCTGCAGGAGGGTTCTCCTGCCCGGCATCACCAGAGTCTCCAAAGTCGCCGAAATCAAAACCACCGGGGGTCTTTGAGGAGTCTTTCTTACTGCCAATGGCACCCCAAGGGTTGGTACCCTTTCCACTATCGGCATTGGCGTTGCCATTCATATTGAGAGAGTCGAGACC